TCATTGCCTGTCCTGTCACTGCCTTGCCCCATTTACACATGAATACAGCCGGACTAAACGCCATATGTTATGCCCGCCCATTGCCATAATGCATTTTAAGCCAAGTGTCCCCCATTTCTTAATGTGAATGGGTTGGCCTTGCAAAGGATATTGTACACATTGTGCTGTGTACATCACCGTACATTGTTTGTAAACAGATGGCACTTGCAGTGAGTGAGATAAAAAAAAAATTGGTTTCCAAGTTTTTTGATCTTTGCATTTACTGATTAACTGGATCAGCCTTGGCTCATGGATTAAACGTTAATCCATCGAAAGTCAATTAAACTAAATGCTTTGGCCACGTTCGATGTGTGGCAGACTTGGTATTTTGTAAATGTGTGCGTCATGTGTTGCACTGAGAAAATCAATTGTGTTCAGTAACCGAATTAACTTTGTAAGTGCTCTCTTGGTGTTCGTGTAATCACAGAGCGGGCCACTGATGGGGCCCTGCCAGGAGAAGACTGGACCCTTAACATGGAGATTTGTGACATCGTTAGTGAGACCGAGGATGGGTAAGGTGTTTTCAATACATCACCGATGTCACGCTCGTAGTCACTTCCCTTATTACATACATCCATGTAATCATAACCGTGTGGGAGCCCTCGTAGTCTTGAGCTCCCTTCCCTAGCCATCCATGCTCCCTGAACCTATATTTTCCACCTATTTTTTAAAATGTAAGTTCCCCGACCCTGTGAATTCCAGGCTCAAGCACTTATTATTATCTCGTGCCGATGACTGCCTCTTAATGTTTTGACATAAATATTGGTACTTTTCCCAAGATGTCCATGTCTGAATCTCTTGTATATCGTTTTGAGATGTGGTTTTCTTTTTATGCTATATGAATCAAAATAGTTTTGAGGCGAAAGTATTTTTTGCAAAAGAGATCTGGGATGCAAAACATTAAATGTACACTGCAAATATTTTCTCAATTATTAGCCTCTTGGCTAACACTGCCATTTTTGTCTTAAATTTGTTATCAATTTTCTGTTCCTGATTTTCACAATGATATTTTACCTAAATGGTGCTTTAGTCATTTACTATAATTTGTACACTCGCTGCTGACCACTGGATGTATGTATTCAGCCACAGATGACCTCCCTTTCTCAACCCGCCAACTAATCCGTGCTGCCACTGAGAAGTTGGTAAATTATAGATGGGAATTAGGGGGACAATACAGAGAGGACGAAGGCCCCACTGCCAAGCCAACCTGCCCCCGAGTGAGAGGCAGGCTACAGACGTTGGGTTTGAGGCAGAAAAAATAAAGCGTCGCGGAGAGATTGATCGTGATGGAGATCACAGATAATGTATCCCATAACACTCGCGTGTGATTGTCGCTCAGCCCTGTTGGTCCTCGGAAGTCGGCGTCGAATTGAAAACTCTGTAAAAAGGCTGTTGATCTTTTATTTGCGTTTAATAGGCGATTCAGTGTTATGCTGTGGTTTCCCCACGACCGGCACTCTGTGGGAGTTCGGGGGACAGGCTTGGCTGGCATGCGGCTGTTTGGCCATCCCATTGTGCACACGCATCTCACAAATCTGCCAAAGTTAATTTAAAGTATATTTGATACCCCTCCGATTGACATGCAATCTATTAAAATACAAGCTTTGAAACCGCTTTATTGAACTTTGTAGAATCGGTATTGAAATGCCCAACTTGTTTTTGTTCGTCAGCGGTCACAGGGTGTGGCTCAGTCGTTGAAAATCACAGCTGTTGTGCATCCGCTCTGCTTGTGCATGGTCCTCATTGAACCCTCAACCACCACCTCTCCCCACCCACACCCATTGACCCCGAACAGCCCCAAAGATGCCATCAGGGCCATCAGGAAGAAACTGTCTGGAAACAAGAATTTTCGGGAGGTCATGCTGACACTAACGGTGAGTTTATGCGGCTGAAGCTCAACCAACTGCCTCGCTGTAAAATGCAATATTTACATAACGCATAGCTTTGCATCTCCATCAGCATAGCTAGCAGTGACTGTGAATATCACCTACCACGGCTAAATGTCCTTGCATGAGGTTAGGTCCACATCAGTCGTCCAGTTTGACTATTTTTGTTTTGACTGATAAATGTGTTGAGTGTTTTTTTTATTTTCGTGTTTAGTTTGATTTGTTTTTTATTGAACCAGCGGATGGCTGTGCTTTGTCAGATTCTTGCACATGCTATGCTTACCGAATTTTAGAGGTGGAATTCTGATGCAGCAATTCTTTCATTGGCATCGGTTCTTTGCATTGAATCGCGTGTTATTCTTATGTTTTTGCATGCGATGAGTTCACTTTAACGCTGCGGCCATTCACCAGCAGCTGGGCGGGGGGGATAAGGTTAGAGTTTGGTACGGAATATTTCCACCGCAATACTTTATCCTTCCCCGTGTACCGATAGTTACATTTTAATGTGAATCTTTATTGAGGAGCTGTGTGTTGTCTTGCTATGGTCTGGGACTGTTGTCGTTTTTCTGCCTTGCCCTAGCTTGCATTGATTGTTGAAAAATTGGCAGAAATTGATCAACTTTAGCAATTTGTACTTATGTACTTGATTTATTTTTAGTGACTTGCTTACCTTTCCTATAATTTGCATTCCTATCGGTTTTTGTGTTGTTGTAATTTTATGACCCGCCCCTACTGGACATCTGTGAAAAAAAGCTTCATAGCTCAATGGATTCCTCCAGTCTAAGTACATATTATGATTCTGCAGAAGGACACGTGTTTATTTGCTAGAAACACATTTATTAACACGGTTGCATTATTTATAGTTTCAGCACTGATATAATAATATACTGTACTTTGCATGCAAGTATTTATTTTGTTTTAAGTGTATTTTGTCCCAATGGACTCTGCCCTAGTTGTAAAGCTCATACGTACCCGCTCGCTCGCTCGTTCGTGTGTATGTCTGTTTGTGTACGTGCGGTAGTGTAGTGGGTAGCGCACTGTGCTATGAGCACGGCAACCTGAGTCGATTCGTCCTCACGGCCAACACCTACGCACAAACATGGGAGCTATGCACTTTTAAATCTAGATTGAAAACTAATTTCTTAAGAACTGCTTTTTCGTGTTTAGTTTGTTGTTCTTCCCCCCTGCACCTCCGATTAGCACGGTTGGAAACGTATGGTGCGAAAGAAGTTCTACATACATACATACAAAGGCGACCGGGCGTGGTCCTGACCACCCACCCCGTCGTGTGCCGTGCTGGCCTTCACAGGTGATTGCTAACAGCACTTGCCCCCAAGAGTCTATTGAGCCAATAGAGGGGATCTTTGTCCTCTTGTTTGTGCATAGGTGCTGGAGACGTGCGTGAAGAACTGCGGCCACCGCTTCCACACGCTGGTGGCTCAGCGCGACTTTGTGGATGGAGTCCTCGTCAAGGTGGTGCAGCCCAAGAACAACCCTCCCGCATTGGTGCAGGACAAGGTGCTCAGCCTCATACAGGCAAGTGGGGGCAGGTGGAGACGCCTGGCCGGCACACCACATCCACCGTACGTGTGTATGGGAGTGATGTCGCAGTGACGTCACTATATTGCTATGATTACCCAAATGATGCTTGTAAAGCTGAATGGAGTTCACAAGAAGTCGCAAACACCTATTTTGAAAGACCCAATGCAGAAGGTCCCTGGCTTCGATCTTGCATGAAGCTTTTGGGCCACAACCCCTGAGTCGCATCATCCACAAACCATGGCAACAGCAGATGCGGATACTGGATGCACAAATGGTAAAATTTGTAAAATCTCCGGTGTGCGCCTGTGGTCATCCAGAACAGACCGTTGAACACGTAACGACTCAACACCCGATTCACAAATATGAAGGAGGCATCATCATGCGGATACACGCCACTACTCCAGACGTAATTATCTGGCTCCACCACCTCAGTGTAAAATTACAGCTGTTGATCTGCATCAACATCAGCCGTACGAAGAAGTGTGATAATACCACATATGACTGCAATATTTTTTTCTTTTGCACCCGGTAGCTTGGTACATACGGCCCAGGTAAGTAACTACAATGTAGGGGCTATTCGTTTTTTGTATTGTGCTTATATTTGATGGTGGCGATGTTCAAATGTGGTGGTTCCAGTTGTGAATAGAAATACAGCGATTTTAACTCGATAATTGTGCACATGAATGTGGGGCGTGTGATGGTTCAAATGTTGCGCATTCCACAGCAAGCATAATTGGTACAGCGAGTTACACACAAAACCCTCAAGTAATGTGCCGCAAGGGAGGGCTAGGACCATTGTGTATGTAAACACCGCCAAAGTTCTCGACCCGATGTACCTATTATCCTTTTTATCACCGTTTGATACTCAACTTGGGTGGTTTAGACAATGCTTGTGGAACAGCTTATCTGTAAATATCGTTAATGCATTCACGATGTATTAATTGAAGACTTAATTCAAGACATTGTCTTGAGATTGTGTACGAATAAGCATTGGGTAGACAAAGGTGGCTCGGTGTAAGACTTGCCACGTGCTCTGCCAGCCTTAATGGGTGCTCGCCAACGGCAGTTGCCCATACACTGACTACAAGAAGGAACTTTATCCTCATCTAGTGCTTTCCAACGGAGGTTTGAAGCGTTTCAGACAGACAGACAGCTTGTCTGTTTCAGACAGCTTGCCTGTCTGAAACAGACAAGCTGCCTGTCTGAAACGCGGGGGACCCAACAACACTCATAAATACGGCCCAACATGAGCCAAAATTGTTGTGTTGCTATTAGGGACTGATCCGCGAGAAAACCGGCAACATGAATCAAAGTGTTTCCCAAAACGTTGAGATGAAAACCGGCGCTAAAATTAATTATCATAATTCGAGGCCTGAGCGCTTGCCAACACTTGACGATGGTTATTGTAATCTCCAGCGAAACGTTTTATGATTGTCAAATTTGTCATGACTGTCAACGTAACCGGTTTGCTGAAAGGCTATATCACTTGGCACATTTTTGCACGTGACAGCTTTATTTGTTTTTCTGTGTCGGGTGGTGGAGGGTTTGAGCTCTAAATGACTTTATTACTTGCACGATCTGACTCAAAAAAACGAACTCCGAATCAGGATCCGCCCCCGGGCGTTTGTGTCTTGCTGGGCCGTGGCTTCGTGCCTCTGCTCCCCCTCCCGATCGCGCGTTTACGTGACGGCATCTTGCGCCATGTGACATCGCCTCGTTGTGAGGCTTGAAACGGAACGTTATTATTGCTCGATACTTGCGTGGCCAGGGAGTACATTGGGAAGCATTACAGAATCTGTGCGTGCCCATGATTTGTCTTATGACCTGTGCAACGTGGAACAGGCTTGGGCGGACGCGTTCCGGAGCTCGCCGGACCTCACCGGTGTCGTGCACGTGTACGAGGAGCTCAAGAAGAAGGGGATCGAGTTCCCCTCCAGCACCACAGAGACCCTGTCGCCCATACACACTCCTCAGAGGGTAACACCAACAATCATAATAATAATGTAGTACGTTTGGTATTTTGATTGTCATGCGTAATAGCACAAGGCGGTCCTCACGAAGGAAAGTGCAGTGTTTCACAGACACAGTGCTTGTAGTGTCACAGTATAGGCTGGTGTTGCTATGTGTAATTCCAGTTGAGTAATGTCCGGGTAATTTTTTCGAATATATAAAATTTTGACCGTGACGCTGGCACACGGTTGGCCCACTTATTTTGAACGATGTCAGGGGGATCTTCAACGTCTCCTGTGAAGGAGACCGCGCATCTTCTATGATTAATACACCTGCGGTAATAACCAGGGCGCCTACCGGTTTTGACCACGCGAACCTTTGCAACAAGCTGGGAACGCACTACCCCTAGGCATTGACACCGCCCCGCTGGGTCACCTAAGACCACTGCACAGTGCAGTGCTACTCGCACCTATCCCTGCTGCAGCGCTCGGCAATAGCGCACAGCTCTCGCACGGCTCTCGCGTTTTCCAGTTGCTTGTGACAGTTGAACGGCCCAGTCAGTGGAATGATCCAATCCCCATCAGTCGCAGCTGTTTGTGGCTGCACATTGAATGTGAACCCCGTTATGTACGGGATATACAGATATAAAAAACATACATCCGTTGTTACACGATTCGATTCAATTATCGCGAGCTCCAAAAATTGATGTTACCCAATTTAAGAATCATTATATTTTTGGTATTCATGGTATCAATCTTACAGCCCAACAACGTCCTGAATGTTGCTATGTGTAATTAAGTAATTCTATCTTTACAACCCTACTCCTAAGCACACTGGCAACTGGGTAATTTTTCTTTCAAGCGCTGTGGAAACAATGATCGTACAATTAACCACCTCGGCAAACTGAGGCTCTGCCTCTGTGCTGTTGTACATAGACAATAGTACTGGGTGACCCGATGCGGCACAACAAGCGCATTCCAAAACGGGGAGCGAAACTTTCCACAAACTCCAGTGGAGATCTCTCGCATATGAGCGGTCCCAACCATCCCATTGCCCCAGCGGCAGTCGAGCCGAGGTGGCACCACCAGTGGCAACATTCCCTGCGCGGAACGAGATGCATCTACGGATGTCGTCTTTTCCCCCCAAGGGTGTACACAGCTTGGCAAGGTGACACACAGAGCAAGCACTGTGTGCACTTGCTTGGGTCCGAACGTGGAGCTGGCCCATTGTGTCTATCACTGCATTAAACTGGCCTGTGGCAGTTTGATGTGAGATTACGGGGTGGGGGACAGAGTGGAGGGGAAACTACGAATGCAGTTTGCTTTGTATGCTCGTTCGCTTCATTAGTTGCCACAAAGTACAGCCTCGCCCTTCAAACAATTTTCCCATCCTCCAGGTCGCATCTTCAACGCAATAGTTATTCTGATAATCGTACTATGTCCTAAAAAAAAGTTTTGCTGGGTGGCTCGCTGCATTGCTGCCTGCCTGCCTTCCTGCCTGGGCTGGCAAGTGTGCTTGCGGGCAAATCTGCGTGATGACATCAGCTGTATGGCACCGCTTTGAGCCGGGTTCGTGCATCGTCCTGACGTCACTCTTCCCGCCACCCCCCGTGCATTGTATGGGATACGCTTTTGCTGCTCGTTTAATTTAAAAATAACCACCCGAATATTACCTGCACCGGTTTTTCAAGTATTGCTGCAGCCGCAGGCCCAGGAGAAAAATGTAACGCTTAACCCGTAAGTAACCAAACACACCTCCCTGTTGCAATAACATTGCCACCGCGTGATCTCCTGGATGAAAATGTTACGTGCAGAGCTTAAATTAGTGTTTGGTAAATGATACATGAAGCCATGCACGATTGTTAAAATGTCCTTGTTGTTTAACACTTGAAAAGGCAAAAATAATGAGATAACCAAATGCACTGGCGCTTCAGTCAGTGCCCAATGAAGCATGGAGATATGCACGCTTGAGTAGAGAACACGGGTAAAGACATTATCCAAACTCTTAAAAACAGAAAGTTGGGCTCTGGCAGATCACGTCACTCGAAGGAATGATGGCCGACAGAGTGGCAGCCAAGGAACGGAAGATGGAGCGAAAAAATTAGTTAATGTGCAGCTTGTGGGTGGATTGTTACATCGCAGAGCCATCAAGGGCGGTGGTGGTTTTGGGAGGTCTTCATCTAGCAGTGGATTGACCATGGCTGATGATGAAGATGAATACAACTTGCTCGGGATTACATATCGTCCTTCCCGAATCCATCTTAGAGTTCACACGGCGGGCGCGAAAGTGCCCAGGGTCAACACCGCTCATGTTTTTGCCACCACCACATGTGTGTGAACCTTCCTCCAGAGCGTGCGCATCAAAGCGCCGACGGAGCTCAACAACCGCGCAGGCAGGCGCGCCGAGGCCCGTGGTGCACGCCCCGCTCCCCGCGCAGACCCGGCCCCAGCCCACCGGCGCCCCCAGCCCCCTCTACGCCAACGCCAACCACAACTTCCAGGCGAACCCCGCGACGATGGAGGCCGCTGGCGGTGGCATCCCCACCGTGCCCCAGCCCCAGCCTGACGGAAGCATCACCCCCACACCCGAGCAGGTGAGCGCGCCGGGCACTTGCTGCTGCTTGCCTGCGTTTGTTGTTCCTGCTGCTGCTGTCGTTTTCGACTCGTTAACTCCCTACCCCTAGTTCAGCGCAGGCTCAAGGCCTTCCTCGTGGCATTCGCCTGTGACTGACTGTGCTCAAAACAGTATATTTGCACCTTCCATTTTTGCGTGATGCGCATCTCCGATGGTTGGCTACGTACAGTGCGAAAGAAGTTCAACATACGCAAGTCCCGCTGTGTTGTGCTTCTCTAGATTGAGGCATCCGGAGGTCGCATGGAGACAATCTACTTGGGCATTTGTACGGTGTCCGTTGTCTTGTTGATAACGTAGCCATTCCTGCTCTTTTGCAGATCTCAAAGTTGCGGGCCGAGCTGGAAGTTGTTCAGGGGAACATCAAGGTGATGTCGGAAATGCTGAACGAGGTCGTGCCGGGCCAGGAGAACTCCTCCGACCTGGAGCTTCTACAGGTTAGGGTCACGAGGAAAGCGTCTTGCTGGGCTTTAGCGATTGCAAGTGAAGCCTGGGACTTATGTAAATGTTTATTTCAACGGGCTTGACAGCATTGATGGTCAGCATTCCCCCTTCCTCCCATGATCACCAAAATTAAGTTGAGAAGTACGGTAGACAGAGCTCAGTAGTGCAGCTGACGGTGTGAGGCATGCAGATGGGAAAACAGCCGCTCGCCTCAGTGGTGTGTAAGGCCAGAGTAGTTGATACCACCACCACACCCTGCCAACGCTTTCTACCCTCCGCCAGTTCCCACAGCTCCCGCACAGGAGACACAGAGCAACCTCTACGATCTACCCTGACAGGCTCCCATCATCTGGCCTTCGATACCCTCACATAGAGATGTACAGAGAACATACTCATGCAGAGACTCATAGATCTGCTCCAACATTATCCCACCATCTGCTCTTAGATCTTCCACCCGGTTGCTGAATTTGTGGAGATCGCTCCAATACCTTCTTTGCCCCTTATCATTAGTACCTATGGCAGTGGTTCGAAGCTTTGTTTTAGGAAGCATGTAAGATAGCCCAAAAGCAATGGTTGCGGGCAACATAAATACCAGAAGGCTGAGGCCTTAGCCTGGAGGCGCGTGGGCAATTCTGGAGACCGCGCTGTCGCCCCCACCCCGTCCCTGCGACGTGCAGGAGCTCAACGGGACGTGCCGCACCATGCAGCGCCGCGTCATGGAGCTCATTTCGCGCGTGGCCAGCGAACCGATCACGGAGGAGCTGCTCCTCGTCAACGACGACCTCAACAATGTGTTCCTGCGCTATGATCGGTGAGCAGCGGCAGACGCGGCCCAAGGCGGGTCGATTGCGTTACGTGGCGTGCAATGTCGGTCCCGGTAAATGGCACCGAACACGACACGGGCTGGTGTAGAATGCAGCCGACGATGTGGCCGACGTATGTAAAGTTGTGCATCGTAACGTCAGCCGCGGGCAATAGTGGCGATGAACCAACCACGTGAACAACACGGGGCTTGTGTGCAAGGCTCTCGAAGCGGAACGAAGCCGGAGGGCACTTGAGATACTCGTGTCGATGGTAGATGTATGTTCAACTTCTTCTGCACTGTACGTAGCCAACAAACAACACAAAAAGCAGCCAAACTGTATGTACGGTTTGGTTGTCTGGTTCTCAAACCTGGCCTGCACCTCTGTCCTCCCCGGCGGGTTTTTGCTCTGTGTTTTGCCGCATCGTGCGCGCCAGTGGCGCACAGTGATGCAGCGGAGGTTTCTCGCTCAGGTTCGAAAGGTATCGCGCGGGCAGAGCTCCTCAGAACGTGGCGCGCGACTCGGGGGAGGCCGCCCTCTACTCGACGGTGAGTCCCATTCAGGATGCTGCAGCTAGGAACTTGGGTAAGCGCCGGGGAATTTTACCAGCACCCAGTGAAAGGTGTGAAATTGTGCTCGGCTGTTTGTAATGTTATTGAACGACCCCCCTCTGATAGATAGCAGGGTATAGTGCGCCCTGATTAATGTTCGTTGCCTTTGCTCTGATTTCCGTTTGCTTCATTGCTGTGCTTGTTTTTACTTGATAGACTTGGTAGTTAAGGTGACCCAGGGCGGTCTTCTAGTAACTGTTCTTGAGCTTGACCCTTGACCCATATTGTCGCCGTTCTATTCCGGCAGGTTTTACGAAACGCTGCCTCCCCGCTGCCGGACGCTGCCGACGACAACCTCATCGACCTTGGGCCCGGCTCCCCGTCCGTCATGACGGGGTCTCGTGGCAGCGGCAACCTCTCCTCACAGCTCGCCGGCATGGGTGAGAGAGCGGAGCGCCGGGGGCGGGGGGAGGGACTGATCACGGACGGGCGCGTTGGCTCAGCTGACGTCACGTTGGTACTGTTTAGGGTTCGGACATTTCTCTTTTTAAGATTTCTCTTGTATATCCGGCAGGCTACGATTGCAGTGCGATCGTCGTAATTGTCGTCAGAGAAAACGGAATTCCTAAGTCAAAGTAGATGTGGGAGTCGTAGTGAGAGGGCAGCTGTCACCCACGTCAGAGCTGCTGCTCAGGTTTAACGTTATCAACACTCTTTCCATTCAAACCAGCCTGTGGCTGAGTTCAGTATGTTAAGGGTATTAATGTTCATGATATTAGCAATGTTAGTGATAGTGATTATGTTAGTGTTGTTATTCCTACTTTTCTTATTAATTACGTAATGTTAACTGTTATTGCTTCCAATCAACTTAGGAGTGGTCATGACCACTCGTAATATTTCTCGTAACTTCACGAACGCCCATTATCGTAACTCTTATTTACTCGCCATTATGAGACTTCTTGTCCGTAAACTGAACTTACAACATTGCTACGATGTTGTAACACGTTCTGTACACTTTCCCTCCAGAGCTCTTCTCGAGTACCTGGTGGAAAGCTGCGTGCACAAGAGGAACAGACTTGCAGATCTGCACCAAGTATTTAATGGCCTATTTGTTGCTCTGCTGCCGCAGGCCTGGCCGGGGAGAGCGTGAGCGGCACCCTCACGTCGCTGGGCGGGGAACGCATCGCAAGCGGCAGGGCCCAGGCACTGCAGAATGCGCCGGACAGCTTCCCTCGCAGAGAGTGAGTGCACGTGACCCACCACTGGCTCCCTTGGGCAAAGTGGCGACCAATGTACATTTTTGTTCATTGTTTTTGTTGTAACGCAACACGAGCCTGGTACAAAAGCACAAACCGTGACCACGCACGTAAACTAAAATTGTTTAGATTTTATTTTAGCAGGTAAGACCCACTGAGCTGCATAGCTCTTTGATAGAAAGAGAGCTGGCCACAAATGATAGCTCAACGAAGTGGCTTATCACGTGGATATTTATAGCAGCCAAATACTCTAAATGCATGTTTCTAAATGTGGAGGGAAAAACCAGAGGTCCGGAGAAAAAATACACATGACCACAGGGAGAACGTGCAAACTCCAAATATACAGGCATCAGGGTCAGGATCTAACCCACGACCTCTTGTATGTCAGGCGAGGTAGTTAACATCTCCTAGCCACCGTGGTGCCCACCGTGGCACAGAGAGGGGGCACAGAAACTCAGCGGGAAAAACTCCAGGCTCAGTGCTCCTGGGTTGAAGGTCGAGGGAGACATTGGGCTCACTGCTCCACCCAGGTGGGGACTGCGAGCGGGAGCATGAGAGTTTGATTTTGTCATGAGGTGAATTTATCCACATTGCACGAATATCCTTCTCTGTACAGCATTATTGAATGATAATGCATTGTATGTTTTATTTGAGGTCGTTTTATGAGAGTCCTACATTAGGATGTTTGGGTTATTCTATTAAGGAGTGTTTTTCATATTTGAGAGTGCACATTTGTATTAGTGGATCATACTCAAAGGTCCACGCTGCTGGTTCACAACCCACTGGGCAGCGTTGCCATTTCCTGTCCGCCTAGCGGCCCAGCAAGCGTGAGTGTTGTACAAGTCCTCCCGATCCACCACAACGCTGCTGCATTACAACGATGCCCTGCAGGTTTTTGCGGGAAGGGTGAGGTGTTTTTGTCGCGTGCACTTGTGTGCGTGCACGTGCAGATTGGTTCACGGCGAGCACGAGGAAGACCCCGCGATCGCTGCCATGGTAAGAGCCGAGCAGTCTCCACCACCTTTATGGGCGCATGTTGGAATTGAAAATAGGGGTTCACTTTCCACCACGTTATTTCTGTTTGCATGCCTTAAGTGGTTTACCCTTTGTCACTATTTAATGTATGCGGTTCGCGTTCCTCTGTTGGTCGTGCGTAATGCACTATCGGCCGCATGATATGTGCACGTGTTTTGGTTTGTTTTTGCATGTGGGTGTGGTTTTTGTTTTCTCTCCGTGTGTCCTTCTGCCCGTGCCGCTCGGCTCATTCGCGGCCTGTGCCACACGGCACGGCCAACGTTCGCACAGCTCCCCGAAACACACGACCAGATAGACACCTGGCTCGCGCGACAAGGCATGGTGAGGTTCGCCGTCGATATCGTTTGCAATGCTGCAGCACTCGTGTAGATGCGTCGCCAAGCTCCTAAAAATACCTTTGGTTACATGTGGTCTTTTTTCAGCCAGCGAACGAAAGCACGTCACCACCGCGTGCTAAGAAGGTGGTATAAATGTGGATTTTGTCTAATAATACGACGTACATGCAAATTACAATTGATCGAAAATTGCTTTTCATCATTGATTGCTTTAACCTTTGCTTTATTCTGATTTATTTACCATAACGCACTTCAGTGATTCTAATCCAAAGGCTTTTTATGGGTCACATTTATAATTTGGTTCAAATATATTTACATGATGTTTTGATTTTCTTGGCTTTATTTTGATTTTCCCCGCAAAATCGGACATGTCGCGGGCCCAATAGAAATCCACGTACGCTTCCACACGCAGTTCCGCGAGCATTACAATTAAATAATGTGAGTTCTCTTTCACTTTACATTTGTTTGGAGGAGAATCTTTATACATAAAATGATATGTTACATGAAATGGATTCATTATATTCTCTTGGAATTCATTACAAAATTACGTCAAAGCAATTGGTCATGCCAAACACGGAACAGACCGGCGTGGATTTCTGCAGGGCGCGCAAATGACCCCAACCCACAGTTGCCAGCGTCTTGCCCTCCCCCGTTCGGAAGGTCGGCTGCTGCCGGTTCATGCATCCCCTCCAAGAGGGAGCGGCTCGACGTGGATTGCCATTTGATCAACTGATAACCTGGCCGCTGTTCGGGCAACCTTGGTGGATCGGTGGATCACCTGCAGATGGGAGCTCCCATTTCTCCGCATCGATACATTCTTTGTAAATGGAAATGTAAGATTTGGAAAACGTTCACGGGGGGGGGGGGTAAAATAAAATACACGCCCGTGAATGTGAAAATTGGTTAAGAAATCGGCAATGCTGCCACCAGCCCGACCTTCCGTCGAGTTCTATTGACGGGGAAAACATCGGCTCTGGCAACAGTGTGACCCTGACCCTAGACTCATGCCAGTCCTGCCCTTTCCCCCGCACCCCCCGCTCCTCACCCCGACATCCCTCAATGGCACAGATTCCCATCTCCCAGCCCGGGGTCATGGACGACATTGAACAGTGGTTAAACACCGATGTGGTGAGCTATGTTTTTTTTTGTTTTGTTTTTTATTTCCTCATTCATGTACTTTATGCATGTATTTTTTTCTTTTAAAATATTTTTACAATTTTATTGTTATCATTTCCATTTTTGTTATTCGCTTTGCAAATTATTTAACATTGGGAATTTTTTTTGCATCGATCATATGTTCATTTAATTCTGTTATTTTCTATTCAACATCAACAGGACCACCAAAACCAAGATGCTAATGTCGAATGGACGACGTATGATGTGTTACACAGGTGTTGCAGTCAGGTGGGGTTAATCCGTTACAGGATGGAGTATCAGCAAGCGGACTTGTGTGTGATGTATTTTTCTTTGAGTTTGTGCCACGTGAGTATATTCCGGCTCAAGGATGGAAGCTATAATTTGACGTTTGTGTTTGCAGTCGGAGGAGAAAGAAGGAGTCACGAGTGAAGGTACGTGGCCAGTCCTGACACCGGGACGCTGCTTGTCCGGTTGCCTGTGCTCACCACTGGGCAAGAGAGGAATCGATTACTCTTCCGTTACCGATTCGTTCGCTCGACTCATCGGATACCATAAAAATAGTTAAATAGCAAAGAAAAAGATCTCACCTCTGTTCCCACGTGCGCTGCTGGACGGTAGGTGATGGGCCGGGCTTGGTGATGCCATGAGCATCATCAGTTGCATGACACCGGGTTTGACTTGTTCGGGGTTTCCCGCCTTCGAGAGGCACGACATGGAGGTGGCCGTCATTTTCAACGCGGCTTGAATAATGAACCCACGAAAGAAATGTCTGATTTTAGTCGATTAATTGGCTTAATCATCCCAGCTCTCGTACAAAACACTCTGACCCGACCGTTGTTCTCCGTTTCAGAGTTCGACAAGTTCCTGGAGGAGCGGGCTCGAGTCGCCGACCAGCTACCGGACTTGCCCTCGCCACCGTCAGCCGCCCCCTCGCGGCCCGAGCCGCCCGCCGCCACCGCCGTCGCTGCTGCCGCCCGCGCGCCAACACAAAACCGCGCCCGCAAGCAGAATTCCGACGACGGTTTAATGGCAATTTAAGTTAATTTGTTTGATCGCTTCCTCGTCATTTTAAAAATAAAACGTTTAATCTCCATTAGCAGTCTTCGCTCGCTTGCGTGCGCATATTTATGCTCTACACTCTTAACTGTAATTTTAGTTACTTTCGCCGTATTTCATTTTGAAATCTCACCAGGCGTCTTGATAATTTTAAAAAGTTTGATTTTGTACTTACCATTTTATTTTTTTATTTCATGCAGCGGTGGCGGATCACACCAGCCGGCTGGCCTGATTGCTGTAGCTTCTCTTGATGCTGTGGCCTAGAGCAGCTGCAGGCTGCATGCTGCACCCCGCTTTTGCGGCAATGCCACGTGGTCCCAGAGCGACGGCTCACTATCGAAACTAAGCTCCCCCCCTGCCCGCCCACAATTGACATTCATTTGCAGCCATAGGGCAAGCTCACTTGCAGCAAGGGAGTGCATGAGAATTCGTAACCATCCCACCAGTTGGCAATGTTGTGTCAACAATGCAATTCTGGGTCTTGAGTGATGTTGATAGTGTACTTTATATATGTGTTATATTATTTGTGTCCATTTCCATCGTCCCCTTTAGGTTTGATTCTTAAAAACTCCAACTTTAACTTTGTGTTGTTGTGCTTGAAAGCTATAATCTGCAAATAAGTGCTCTGATGTAATTGAAATGAAAAGCATTATAATGAGTGCACTAATCCCATTAAGCATTACCTGAAGACATGTTTTTTAGTTTCTGACGAAATGGTTTCCTGTGTGTGTATCAAAGCTTGCATGTGCTGTGGTGCTGTAACTTGGACACTGGGTAACAGGGCAGACGCATGATCCATTTACTGGTGAGTTGGCTTTAGGACCCATAGAGGATGAGGTGAAAACTGCCCAAGTGACGGCTCTTCCAAATTGTGAACATTATGCCATGGATTTACTCCAATGGCAAAACAATTGTGTGTTGGTTTGCAGTGCTCAGTTATGTTGGATGTTTTAAATTATTTATGCTTTATTGTACAAACTAACAGGTCAGCATTGAATTCGGTTACCAAAACGGTACAGTGTGAGAACTTTTATGAGGCTGGAATATCTACGGCAAATGCACGCCCGTATTATTTTTGCTATCCAGCCGATATTTGGGACCTCGTGATATCAGCACGGGGCCACTGTGTGCATGAGTTCTGGCTCTAATCTCTTTGAATAAAATGAAAGTTTTGCCATTGGAGTACAATGCTATGGAGACATGTCGACCTGGTGTTTGGCCAGTAAAGCTCACTACCCCCACCGCGCACACCTGTAGCAGTCCACACTCGCTCCCATACTCGCCATTGAGCTCGTGAACAGGTGTGTGGCCAGCACCTGCAGAAACGGGATCCGTGTTTGACGGCCGAAGGCAGGCTTAATGGTTAATGAGCGTGGTCTTAGCCCCGCGCGTTGTGATTGGTGGAACGTGGTCACCGAGGCCACAGCGCCGGAGAAACACGAGCACGGCACCGCAGGGCACACAGCCTCGTGTCACCTTGGTCACATTTCGTCGTCGTCGTCGTCGCCGCGATCTGGACACTTTAGACCCCGCGAAAGGGTCTCGATTTCTGAATTGTCAGTTCGGAAAATGTCGGTGGGGGTCGGGGGAAAAGTATTATGGAATCTTTCGTTCTAAGGTTGATTCATTACTCTAAATTGTATTCAGGGTGTTATTTCAGTCTTAATTACCCGATGGCTGGACAATAGACATCTGGGTACAGCCGTCTTTGTAAAACTGTATCGTGTGTTAGCTGGCGAGCAGAAGATGAACGTTTCACCTGTCGTAGAAACACTTGAGTCATCTTGAATAATCCCTGCCAAACAGGGTGATGCGAAGTTCCTACCATGAAATATACTGTATGATATGAAATGAATGTGGCATTTTGAGGTTTGTAGGTCGTCTTTTTTTTGCTGTATAAAAACAAAGATTTATTTTTGAATTGCATGATTACGTTGCCGTCGTGTAAACAAGAGAGTGATGACATTTTTTTTTTGAGGGATAGAATTAACACGTGGCGTGACAACGCGGAGTGCCCTGTCTCTCCTGAAACGCCACAGAAGTCACCCGTGGCTTCGGATGTCTTGAAAGGGTCTCCCACTGTCGCCCGCCTGCCCGCACGCTCCTCCTAAGACGTCTCGGCCGAGTGACGGGTCCCTTGCACGTCGCCGACCTTTAACCTCGACGCCGCCTGTCGCCGATTTGGTTTTTATGCTTCGGTTGAACGCAAGAAACATAAAATAAAAACTGGGCTCGTTGAAAATGACAAAAAAAAGCAAGTTGTGCAAGTCTTCCTTTTACACGGTCCGTCATGTGCTCATGCGGCTGTCTTTTTTTCGTTTGCCAAAGGCGGTCGCTGTCGTCGGTACGTCGCACTGCGAGCCCAGCACCACGAGTCTCTCACTCGCAGCCGCAAGCTGATGAGAGACACCGACGAGCAAAGCAATCCGCGTCTGTTGCCCAGCCACGTGGCCCTCCTCCTGTGTCGGTATAATTCCAAGCATGCGTCCCCTCCATGCTCTCGTCATCGTCACGCTCAATCCACTGTTACATGAAAATAAAAATGCCTCTTAATATACTTGCCTATGTTCTCCAATACACGTGTTGTCCTTTATTTCTGCCGCGGTGGCTCCAAATGCCATCGGGAGGTAATTTTCATTCATTTCTGTTGATTTTTTTGTTTTGTTATATTACCGAGCACAACGGCATGTTGGAAACGCGTTACTGAAGCCATGCACATTGCATGCTTTTTGTTCCTTGTGTTCATCTGTAAACCCACCACCACCACGTTGACTCGGGAGAGGGCGCTGTGCGATGCCGACTGCCAGGGGCTGGGTTTGTGAGCTCGTGAAGCGACTCGGAATCACATTGCCGCAACACAACCTCATCGCTTACGCCGATCGTCGGCGTTGACGGCGAGCCTCGGCACATTTACATTAAACGCACAAGCATCGTTATAATCACGTGATTTGTGTCATCCGCGGCTCGTGATTAAGACATCGGGGACGCGTGTGTTGATCTCAAACCGGCCCCAGGGCAACTCCTTCCCCAAGGCGCACGGGACCAGCGTAGTGGAGTATGGTCACACCACGAGAGTGACCGACACGGCGTGTTGCTGTTTAAATTACGAATACTCGCCACCCATCACGGCGGCGTATATATGAACCCGTTCCTGGGCCACCCCTAAGTCGACTCAGCCTGAGAAGACTACCTGGTGCAGTGTGTGTGTGATACATCAGCACTGGGGAGACAAAGGCGGCAGGGCATACGCGATTGGTGGCCAACCCACCACTCGCTCACAACACTTGCCCCGGGGGATTTGTTGTTGTTGAATGATCTCTTCATAAAACACGGCCCAGAGTGAACGAAACGTTGTCGCGAGGTTCTGTCCCGTCGACACAGCGATGAACTCTTTGAGTCAAGCGGAGAGAGCCAACACACACAAACACACAGCTCCACAAACACGGCAAACAACGAAGACTGTCTGGGTGGTGGTGGTGGGGGGGGGGTGGAAGTGCCGATACGATAATAAATTATAATTTATTCGGAGGAGGAACTCCACGGGCCACGCGAAGGGGGTGGGATGGGGATGAGGATGCGACGTCTGTGGGCCACGGCACACAGCGCCACTGCTCGCGCCTGTTTGTGTACGAGGCGCCACGTGTTAACAACAACAATAACAACAACAAAACAACAACAATAACAACAGCAGCAGCAGCCGGTGCGTGTCTCTGTGAGGAGCGGTGGCGCAGCGGTGAGCGCCGAACTCGACAAGCGAACCGGGGTTCGATTCCTGCTCGCGAACAAACAACGGTGACGGCGAACACTTGAACCGGTTCGGGGGGGGGGCTCTCCTAGGTTGGCTCAGCCTCAAGTGAGTACCTCGGCGCGGTGTGTATACAAACCATGAGTGCTTGGTGAGACAAAGGCGGCCGGGCGTGGTGTTGGCCACCCCCTCTCCCCCCGTGTGCCGTGCCGGCCTTCACAGGTGCTGCTCGCTAACAGCACTTGCTGTGTTTGAATGGCGATGTGCCGTGTTGTACCACACACACGTGTGTTGTATAACACCACACGCACACGTGTCGTATAACACCACACACACACGTGTCGTACAACACACACACGTGTCCACCACACACACACACGTGTCGTACAACACCACACACACACACACGTGTCGTACAACACACACACGTGTCCACCACACACACACACGTGTCGTACAACACACACACACACGTGTCGTACAACACACACACACACACGTGTCGTACTACACACACACACACGTGTCGTACTACACACACACGTGTCGTACTACACACACACACGTGGCGTCTTCGTACAGTGCGCGGCCCACGTGTTACAGCACCGAGCCACGTGTTTATATATACTGTACACTGTACTGTATCTACAGTAGCTTACTGTCGTTACGATCACAAGCTACTGTTTACACACACCGTGTATAGATGACGGTGTGTTGCTGGTCGCTATTTGAAGTGTTCGTCACGGCGGTGCGAGGCAGTGTCGTGCTGTGGTCGGTGTGGCGGTGCCTTGGGGAGGCCCTCATCCAGCAGTGGATTGCCCATGGCCGATATTGATCACGACGACGGAGTAGATCGATGCATGATGCGAGATCGTCAGCGGAGTTCACAAGCAGCGATTTCCTGTAGTTCGGTAGGTGCTGTCACTCGGGATGGACCGCGCCTCGTCACAGTAACGTGGAATTGCCAGGAGTCAGCGCAGCAGGGGGGGGGGGGGTGCAGAGCCGCGCGTGAAACGTGGCGAGGTGTTTCGGCAGAAGCGAGAGCTTCGTGTGTCTCGCCTGGCATCGCCTTCGTTGCCACTAGAGGCCGCTATACAAAGTGTCCTGCGGACAAATCGATGGAAGCACAACCCAAGCCTCGCCACGTGTCTTGGTGGTGGGGTCGCCCGGATTCACCAACTCATCGATCGGCTCGAACCGAAATCTTCACCGAACGAAATTCACTTCCCACCCCCCGCTCATCGCGATCGGCCTCGTAGCCTGAACGGCACTCGACTGTGGCTGGCCATGCAGCCAGCACCGCCACCACCACCACCTCCATCGTGGTGTCTGTGCTCCTGCAACGGTGGAGGAGGAGGATGAACAGCGCCACCACGACACCAACTCTGCCCCTCTCCCCCTGTCTTTCGTCGTGACCATCGCTCGCAATACACATTCCTGCGGAGGGAGCTGGTAGGAACGTTGGGTTGCTCGGTCAATGGCCTGCAGGGTCAACGGCGGCGTGGTGTATTCCGCAAAAATGCCCGACTGTGAGGGCGGGCACAAGCCGGCGTGAGTAGGTTAAACGTTGAGTTTTATAAGGGCACCACGGGGTGACCAGCCCCTCCCACGCCCCTCCCAGCCCCTCCCCACCCAGCCCCTCCCTACACGACGGACGGACGGACACAATAATCCCCTGTGGGCTGGTGGAACCAGGTGGTTCCTACCAGTATAAATGAACAAGGCTTTGATTCTCGCACAGATGGACGGGTGTACTGCGGCTGTCGTGGTGGTCGGGTTGTTTACGAGTTCACAGTCGCCTGTGGTGCTTTGCTGGCGGTCTCCAATGTCGTGAAGTCGTGGGGAGCGGTGGTGTTGTGGTTAGCGCCACGCTGCGCTACGTACCTGGCGACCCGGGTTCGATTTTCGCTGAACCGGTCCTGGGCCTCCCCTAGGTCGACTCGGCCTCAAATGAGTACCTGGTGCGATGTGTAAACATCGCCACTGGAGAGACAAAAACGGTCGGGCGTGGTGCTGGCCACCCACCCCCTCGTGCGCCGTGCCGGCCTTCATAGGTGCTCGCGAACAGCACTTGCCCCAACAGTCTGTTACAGGCTATACGGGGGATCTTTGTCTCTAATTTAGTCATCGATATACGATACGGACAAGGTAAATGTTTTACGCGGTTTCATGAGCACACCGTCAAAGGCCCCAGAACGTCAAGCGGCAATCATCAAACAGCACTTTCAAAGTTAAGCAAGAGTTCAGCAAGAGTTAAGTAACAATTGGAAGGTAACTCCAAAACCGAGCGGTGTGAGGGAAAAAGCAGAAATGTTGCGACCTGCAGTGTGGTGAGTGACAGGGTGAGTGAGTGAGTGAGGGGGTGAGTGAGTGACAGGGTGAGTGAGTGACGGGGTGAGTGAGTGACGGGGTGAGTGACAGGGTGAGTGAGTGACAGGGTGAGTGAGTGAGTGAGTGACAGGGTGAGTGAGTGAGTGAGTGACGGGGTGAGTGACAGGGTGAGTGAGTGACAGGGTGAGTGAGTGACAGGGTGAGTGAGTGAGTGAGGGATGGGGTGAATGAGTGAGTAAGTGAGTGACGGGGTGAGTGAGTGACGGGGTGAGTGAGTGACGGGGTGAGTGACGGTGTGAATGGGTAGGTGGGTGGGTAATTGATGTTGTTGTGACCTGAAGCGTGGTGGCTGAACACAATATGGTGCATGAGTTACGACACAGTCCGTGTCCGTGAGAGACCGATCCCTCAACCCGCATGGACGAATCAACGATTGGTGCTGACAGGAGCGCTAACCACGATCGTCGCCACAGAAGAGAGAAAAGGAGGCGACTTGAGCACCGCAGTGAATCGGAGGGCGCCGGAGTGAATCGGAGGGCGCCGGAGTGAATCGGAGGGCGCCGGAGTGAATCGGAGGGCGCCGGAGTGAATCGGAGGGCGCCGGAGTGAATCGGTGGGCGCCGGAGTGAATCGGTGGGCGCCGGAGTGAATCGGAGGGCGCCGGAGTGAATCGGTGGGCGCCGGAGTGAATCGGAGGGCGCCGGAGTGAATCGGAGGGCGCCGGAGTGAATCGGAGGGCGCCGAAGTGAATCGGAGGGCGCCGGAGTGAATCGGTGGGCGCCGGAGTGAATCGGAGGGCGCCGGAGTGAATCGGAGGGCGCCGGAGTGAATCGGTGGGCGCCGGAGTGAATCGGAGGGCGCCGGAGTGAATCGGTGGGCGCCGGAGTGAATCGGAGGGCGCCGGAGTGAATCGGTGGGCGCCGGAGTGAATCGGAGGGCGCCGGAGTGAATCGGTGGGCGCCGGAGTGAATCGGAGGGCGCCGGAGTGGAGTGAATCGGAGGGCGCCGGAGTGAATCGGAGGGCGCCGGAGTGAATCGGAGGGCGCCGGAGTGAATCGGAGGGCGCCGGAGTGAATCGGTGGGCGCCGGAGTGAATCGGAGGGCGCCGGAGTGAATCGGTGGGCCGGAGTGAATCGGAGGGCCGCGGAGTGAATCGGTGGGGCCGGAGTGAATCGGAGGGCGCCGGAGTGAATCGGAGGGCGCCGGAGTGAATCGGAGGGGCCGGAGTGAATCGGAGGGCGCCGGAGTGAATCGGAGGGCGCCGGAGTGAATCGGAGGGCGCCGGAGTGAATTGGAGGGCGCCGGAGTGAATCGGAGGGCGCCGGAGTGAATCGGTGGGCGCCGGAGTGAATCGGTGGGCGCTGGAGTGAATCGGTGGGCGCCGGAGTGAATCGGTGGGCGCCGGAGTGAATCGGTGGGCGCCGGAGTGAATCGGTGGGCGCCGAGTGAATCGGTGGGCGCCGGAGTGAATCGGTGGGCGCCGGAGTGGAATCGGTGGGCGCCGGAGTGAATCGGTGGGGCGCGGAGTGAATCGGTGGGCGCCGGAGTGAATCGGTGGGCCGCCGGAGTGAATCGGTGGGCGCCGGAGGTGAATCGGTGGGCGCCGGAGTGAATCGGTGGGCGCCGGAACGTAATCGGTGGGCGCCGGAGTGAACGGTGGGCGCCGGAGTGAATCGGTGGGCGCCGGAGGTGAATCGGTGGGCGCCGGAGTGAATCGGTGGGCGCCGGAGGAATCGGTGGGCGCCGGAGTGAATCGGTGGGCGCCGGAGTGAATCGGTGGGTGCCGGATCGCCCTGCTCACCCGCGCCTCGCACCTTGCCCACCCAGGCAACCTCTGGCTGGCGAGGAAATGGGCGCTCGTGTGCCCGTGGTGTGGCCACGGTGGTGCGGTGGTGGCGCCGCCACGACCACTGCGCTGCTGCTGCTGCTGCTCGCGGTTGCCGCCGCTGCTGCTGCGGAGGCCCAGGAGCGACGCACCGCCCCGGACAAGGTCTCCCTCGGTCTCTGTATCCTCGTCACGACTACCGCCCGGGGTGGCGTCACCGCCGTGGCTCCAGCCTCTTCGTGCGGCCACTCACGGGGACTGAATGATTGTGAGATCGATTTGAAAATGAGCGGGGTTGTCAAATAATCCACCCATATTTGTCGCATTAATCGGTACTGCCGAAGTATTGCTCCCCTTGGTGGTACCGATTTCTGCTGTGGCTCGTGGACTGCGTGCCCCAATAACATTGCAGAATGCGAGCTATTGCCAAGCATCGTGTCTGCAAGAGTTCCGTGGACCACTTCCCCATGGGCTTCTGGACCACAGGTTGGGAACCGATGCACTCAAGCGAATGAATGCGCATTAGTTGGCCGATAACAACTTAATTATTGGTAGAGCCGGTGCGCCATCTGAATGCTGCTGCTGCTGCTGCCCATCAGAGTCGTTATCTCTGGTCGAGAGCGAGCGGTTACTGTGCAGCGTGTTACAAATCGAGATTATTATTACTCTTTGGTTCTGTCGGTAAAGTCACGTAGATGAAAAATATATTTTTTATTTTGACTTTACCAAAAGAACCAAAGAGTATGGATCCTTGCAGTCACGAAAACTTCAAATCTCGACATTATTGTTGTTGTAATTATGATGAGCTTGTAAGTCGCCGAGTGAAGCCGCTGCCCTGCGGAACGCGGCGTGCGCCTGCGCGTCGTGGATTGGGAACGACTCGCCGGGCTCGAGTTGCGCAGTGAGCGGTTCGACCTCTCTGTCCGAGCGCCGTCGGATCGCCACTTCTCCGAGTCCGGCGCTCCCTTTTGGGAATCGTTGCGATCGCCGCCGACGCCTTGACTCGACGGGCGCCAAGACAAGAAGCTGTTCGAGGTCAAACGCAAGGAGCAGATGAACGCCCTCAAGACCCTCATTGAGCTGAGGGACCTCCAGCAGCAGTACAAGATCATCGACATCATGCTGCAGGGCCTCTTCAAGGTGACCGAATGCGTTCGTAGGGCAACGTTTCAGGGGGGCGAATGGCCCTTCGTCACGCCCCTTGCTACATTTCAGTTTTTGTTCTTTTAAGGCCGCCGCAGTGTTGGTTTGTCGACGGACGTGTTTGAGCTTCTGCGTCAGTCGTGCTTTTGCGTGTTTGTACCCAGAGGGAGCAGCGCCGCATGGAGATGGTGCAAGTGAGGGTTTTGTGTTGTTGCTTCTGACGTTTTATTGACCCAGGCCGCTCTTGAGATCTCACCTGGGGTTAAACGAATTAAATTAGTAAATATCTGAAAGCAGACCTGGACCTCCTCTGCACAGGGACGGCTGTCCTACGGGAGTCCCCTAGGCTAAAGAATACTTGCAGCCGGGCATTGGAACGATTGAGATGAGATTCAAGGCACATTGAGATGCTGGGGCATTAATCCTCCAATAAATGCGAATGCCGAAGTGTTCAGTTTGCTGCCCTGTGGCACAGCTCGCAGTGACTAATAAGGTGCGTGTGTGTGCGTGTGTGTGTGTGCGTGTGTGTGTGTGTGCGTGTGTGTGCGTGTGGTGTGTGTGTGTGTGTGCGTGTGTGGTGTGTGCGTGTGTGTGCGTGCGTGTGTGTGCGTGTGTGTGCGTGTGTGTTGCGTGTGTTGTGTGTGCGTGTGTTGTGCGTGTGTGGCGTGTGTGTGTGCGTGTGTGTGTGTGTGCGTGTGTGTGCGTGTGTGGGTGTGCGGTGTGGCGTGTGTGTGTGCGTGTGTGTGTGTGCGTGTGTGTGCTGTGTGTGTGTGGCGTGTGTGTGTGCGTGTGCGTGCGTGTGCGTGTGTGCGTGTGTGGTGCGTGTGTGTGTGTGCGTGTGTGTGTGCTGTGTGTGCGTGTGTTGTGTGTGTGCGTGTGTGTGTGTGTGTGTGTGTGCGTGTGTGTGTGCGTGTGCGTGCTGTGCGTGTGTGTGCGTGTGTGTGCGTGTGTGTGCGTGTGTGTGCGTGTGTGTGTGTGCGTGTGCGTGCGTGTGCGTGTGTGTGCGTGTGTGTGCGTGTGTTGTGTGCGTGTGCGTGCGTGTGCGTGCGTGCGTGTGTGTGTGCGTGTGTGTGCGTGTGTGTGCGTGTGTGTGCGTGTGTGTGCGTGCGTGTGTGTGTGCGTGTGTGTGCGTGTGTGTGCGTGTGTGTGCGTGGTGTGTGCGTGTGTTGCGTGTTGTGCGCGTGTGTGCGCGTATGTGTGTGTGTGTGTGCGTGTGTGTGTGCATACAGGTGCTGGAGGAATCGCGCGTGATCCTGGCTGCCGCCAACGTGCTGCCTTCAGGCCCCATCCCCGACGACGCCCGACAGAGGGACGGTACGGGGTGCCCACCGTTACTGCCAGGGCCCCAATCTTCGCTGGTTATTTTTCGCGTAATAGGAAGACTGGGATAGGGATGTGACTTGTAGCAGCTACAACCATAATCGAGGAGGTATCCGTATGCGGTGTGCCAGGCGTGGAAACGTTTTCTGGGTCACTGACCCGGACAGAAATATAGCCTTGGTTACCAGGCCTGGCATCATGCTGAGGCTTATAGGGAGACCATGTATGTATGTTGAACTTCTTTCGCACCATACGTAGCCAACCATGATAATCGTCAAGCGATCTGGTGCCATTCCATTCCGTGCTTTCAGCGTCGGCAATAGATAAAATGTTACATTTATTCAGAGTTAGTTTGTTTGCCGGCTCGCGTCGTCCGTTATAGCGGCGCGGGCGTTTGCGCCGAGGCGCAAGGCGCTCCCTCGTGGCGTCGTGAAGCGACCATCGTCCCGTGCCGCCCCCCCCCCCCGCCCCGGCAGCGTTCTCCCACGTGGTGGAGAACGTGGCGTTCTTCGGCGACGTGCTCCTGCGCTTCCCGCGCATCGTGCACAGCTACGTGGACGGCAGCGCGGAGCGCCTCGCCTCGTGCGCTGGGGCCTCCTCTTCTGCAACGGCACAGGCGTCTTCGCCGACGGCACCCACGCGCAGCTGCTGGGCCTGGTGAGGCGACAAGACGGTAGCCGGGCTCCATTCCCGATCCGGGCGCCTCTTACGGCGTGGAGTTTGTATATTCTCTCCTTCCCCCCCCCCCACTGTTCTGCATGGGTTTCCTCCGGGTTCTTTGTTTTGATACCCGTGCGTGCGCTGGTGTTGATCTGTTTTGAGCCCAGGCGTCGCAGGAGCTGGGTCTCATCGAGAAGTCGCCCGAATATCACAACCCCTTCCAGCTGGACGAGGAGAAGGTAATTCCGACTTTCTGCGCGCAGCGGCTCACGGACGTTTAAACGCAAGACACGGCGCTGCGTTTATTTCCGCGCCCCGTGTTCGCTCGCCAACCCCTGCCGTGATTGTTGTGGTGTCACGCGCACCTGGGGGCGGGGGGGGGGCTCAGATGCTGAGGGACACGCAGGTGCTGCGCGAGGCGTTCCGGAAGGAGGAGAAGAGGAGGAAGCAGGAGGAGAAGCGCGAGAAGCGGAAGGGGCCGCGCATCACGCGCTCCCGCTCCGAACTCTAGCCGGGACCGCACTGCCCGTGCCGGCCGCGTCACCAATTCGCGACTCCGCCGGGCGACGGCTGCCACCGTGGAACCGTCCGCGAGCTCCCACCGTGCACCGGACCCCCATCGCTATCGACGAAACAAGCACCTCCACCCTCCTTTGCCCCTACCCTGCCCCCGGCAACCGTCAGGCTGACGACGAACGGCCCTGTCTGTAACGACGCCCAAACCCCCCACCTCCTCCCCCCCGCTCCGTAAGGGGAGTTTCTCGAGGAAAACTCGCGCCCGATCAAAACGTCGTCTCCCGTCGACAACGGGGCATCGACGTCCGCCGTGAGGGGGAGCAACACAAATGGTTACGGGCGCTGAAGTCCAATGCTCGTTCGTCCCGCAGGGCATCGTGGGAAAAGCCTCGTGAGCTCACGTTCCTCCCGGCCGCCTCGTGCGGCCACCCGCTTCAGGGACGACTGAGCGCGCGAGTCGTTTTGTTTTGGGTTTCGTGTCGATGCCTTGTGGCGTAAATGTGTTATTCGTCTTCGTTGATTACCCACGAATTTGAAGCCCCCGCTATGTTTACAACTCGGCCCGCCACGGCGCGCGATCACCTTCCGCCCGCCCGCACCGCATCCGGCGCAGCGACGCAGCGCGATGTCGTCTCGTGCGTGATGAGTCTACGCTAAAAAATTAATTCCTGCACGATCGCGAAGCGCGCGTCTTTTCGCCGCGATTTTGCGAGAATACGTTCACTCTTTATTGAAAGGTTGTCTGCTGGTGATGCATTCGGTATCGTGAAGCAAGCAAGATACGGTACAAACAGGAAACGTTCACGAAAAACACGCTAATAATGGACTCTTAACTCGAATATCGAACCCGAATTCACCGGAATTCACGGACTTGGCCGGTGGGGGGTGACGTGGTGGGAACGCCGCCGTGTGACTCGCACCCAAGTGAACTTACACACATCACGTGGCTTGCGTGACTGCCTTGCACGTGCGCTCTGCACTAAAGTTAATCTTTGTAACTCTGACCTCATCCGCTCTTCTTTTGAGCACGAACCGATGCTGTGCCAAAGCTGTTTCCAAAAGCACTTGAGCGCACTGCGTAAATAACGAAGCCTGTGTCTCGGATTAATAAAAAACTTAAAACGGTTTTGTTCTAGCACTTCGTGCAACCTGGAACTCTGTAAAAGCAAAAAGAAAACTAAAACTGCCGCTGGTGGTTGATAGATGTCTATTCACAGTGGTTGCCGAGGTGAAGTGCGTCTCGAGGTGTTGCGTTTCGTGCCAGGGTGGATTTGCCACGTCTGGGTTCGGTGTGCGTGAACGTCGCATGACTCCCAGGGGAAATGGACTGCCTCGTTTGTAGAGTAGAGCAAGCGTTCCGTGTGCTTTTGTTCGTCACCTCAAATTCATTCAAACCTTTTGGTCGTAGGTGCAACACGCTTATTATAGTCGACCGACGCAAAACCCTGCACCGGATTAAAATCAAAATGAATTTGATTGATTGCTGCAGTCCAGTGTTTGCCACACCATCCCGTTACGAGCAGGGGAGATGTCGAGACACAAAACTAAGAAGCAATAAACCCGGCGCCCGTTGGCAGCAGTGGGCTCGCCTCACCCTCCCTCCGGCTCGACTCCTCCGTGCCTCGAGTCCTGCCGGCCGCCCTGGGGACGCCTTCATCCCACCGCCCCCATCGGCCGGGCCGTCTCTCTCTCAATCCCCCCGGCGGAGGGAGCTGGAGCGAGCGCTGCTCTCCGCTCGGTGCGTTTTGGGAGCCTTCGAGCGCCGCTCCCCAGCGGTAGCCCGCGTTCACATCACTGGCGGGTCGAGCTAGAAACGTTCTGGCACGGAGAGAGAGAGAGATGAGAAGAGAGCGCGCTTGATAAAAACGAAGGCGTGTAATGTTACTAAGCCGTTTATCAATCCATATCTTTATTACAAGTGGTTACTTGGCCGCTCTAAAAATCGCTGCGATCGTTCATCAAAATGCGCCGGGACACGTGGGAATTCGCTGTCCCCCCCCCCCCCCACACGTTGTTCTTGTGACGGCGCTGACGACGGCCGAGTGGCTTGACTGTTGATCGACGGTGCGCGACACGCGCTCTCTCGCTGCTGCTGGATGGTGATGCCTATTCCCCTCCGTACGCCGCGTGTCTTGTGGGGGCTGGTCACGGTGCGGATGGTGGAGACACCGGGAGCATAGAGCAGTACAACCGTGGATTGTTTTAGCTGCCCTGCCCTGTGATGCGCACAACAGCAGCCTAGCAACAGCAGCAGCAGCAGCAACCCACAGCAACCCGTTATGCATGGTGGTTGCTCATCCAACCACTCTCCAGGCTCTAGCCTGCTTAGCTTTACAAGGTCCCACACGAGGTTGGGCAGCTGTACGACTGTTAAAGTATTCGAACTAAATGCCGTCCTGTGTTTCGTATTTATGCAAGGTTTCCAAAACATGTATTACCCAAGATTCAATCCGGATTTGAGAAGTGCATTACTAGGCAAGTGTTGGCAATAGACTTATATTTGAAAGTAAAAAACGACTTTGTAAATTGAGAAATATTTATATACCGTG